GCAGGGATGGGTGGGTGGGGGTGGGTGCAGGTCACCGTGCAGGGTGCAGGTTAGGGGGTCCCACCTCTTCCCCCCGCAGGAGCCGGCAATGCCGTCCATAGTGTCCATGCGCCGCGCACTCGTCCTCGTCGCTCTCTTCTACCTCGGTCTCCTGCCCCGCACCCACGTCCCCGAGGCCTTCCTGCAGGTGCCCCTGCCCTCCATCATCAACAGGTGCGGACACCTGGGCTCCCCAGGGTGGGAGCAAGGGATTCTGGGAGCCCGGCTGTCTGGGCTCCCAGGGAGGGGAGCTGGGCCGGGCGCTGAACCTGGGAACTGGTAGGACGAGCTCTACTAGCTCTACCAGTTCTCGGGGAGGGGGAGCAGGGGGTTTGGGAGCCCGGATGCCTGGGTCCCATCCCCTCTGGCCCCCCCCCCTCCCCCCTGCAGGACCTACTTCCCAGTGCGCAAAGGCTGCCTGGGGGCGCTGATGGCCAAGATGCTCCAGAAGTGAGTAAAGACAGGGAGGTGGACACCCCTGTCATTCCCCCCTCCCACCTTAGGCCCCACCCCTTTTTTTGCAAACTTCTCCCCCCAGTCTTTAAAGGGCCAGACACCCAGACATAATCACATGCTGGCAGCAGGCTGGAAGAGAGGCCCTGGGAGTGTGGGCAGGGGAGGTGGGGGCCAGATGCCCGGGCTCCCTGGGGGGGAGCAGCAGGTTCTGGGAGCCCAGACACCTGTGCCCTGACATCTCCTCTCTTCTCCAGGGTCCTCATGAGGAAAGAGCTGTTTAAGCAGCTCCAGGACAAAGGGGTGAAGGTGAGTTGGGGGCGGAGGGGGCTGCAGGCTGGGAGTGAGGGGCACTGCTGACACCCTGCCCCCCCCCCACCAGGTGATCATGTGGGTGCTGAACGAGGACCAGGACTTCGCTGAGGCCTTCAGCTACGGGGTCGATGGGGTCATGACCGACTACCCCACCCGTCTGCGCCGCTACCTCGACCAGCACCCGGCCCATGAGCGCCCAGGGGGCTCCTTCTGGCTCTCCAATAAACAGCCTGGACACACCTTGGAGGGTCTCCGGCTCCTCCTTGGGGGGCGTGGCCTTCGGTTGAGTCATTACCCTAATCCTGATCCCCAAATAAATCTGAGCCTGGCCCTTTAAGAGCTCCTCTCCCCTCCCGTCCCTTCCCTTCCTATATGTAAATCAGCCCCCGTCCCCCGGAGCCGCCTTTCCCGGGTCATTAGCATGCCTCGCACTGATTGGGCAGGGGGCGGGGCCTGGCTTTGTTTTCCCAGCTGGGCTGGTGGCAGAGCGCTCGGAGAGGGTCCTGCGGCCGGTGAGCGCCAGACCCCCGCGGGGCCGCAGGGCGGGGCTTCCCAGCGTCCTCTGCGGGCTCCGGGACCCCCCGGGTCGAGAGGGGTCGGGGCGGGTCGAGAGGGGCGTTTCCTGGTTGGGCTAGTGGGGGTGGGGATTAGGCGGCTATAGGGGACCCAGGCTGGCCCATAGGTGCTATAAGGGGCTGCTGTATAGGGGCTGGGGGTTGTATATGGGACGGGGGGTGGAGGGGCTGTGAGCCCCCCCTGCTGTCTGCTATAGGGGCCTCTATAGGGGGGGGGGGGGGGG